ATATTATCTGGTCACAGGCTGAAATAATATCACCATCTCTTGGATTTTATTGTATTTAATATTTTTATTTAATATTTGTATTATTTATGCTTTTATTGATTTTAAATTGTTTTGTTGTGAACCGCCCAGAATCCTTCCTTGTGGGGCAGTTGGGCGGTGATATAAATTTGACATATAAATAAATAAAATAAAATAAAATAAAATAAAATAAAATAAAATAAAATAAAATAAAATAAAATAAATGGTCACTTTTTCCCAAAGCTCCCACCATTTCCACTTTGTCTAATTAAATCTCCAAATAATGAAGACAGAACATCCTTGCCCCACAATAAAAGGGTAAAATTATCTTAACAATACTGTGCATTTCTGCCCCCAATGTGGTGATAATAGGGGAATGTGCTTATAATAGGAAAGACCAAGATCATGTGAATTAATGTTCTAACTCCTGAACTCATTTTCACCAGCAAAACAATTTAATATCCAATATAATCTAAGTAGAAATTTCTGTTGTATTAGCGTCAGTTTTAAGAACAAAAGAAATTAATGTCACATATTCTGATTTTCTTTTCTACATTCTATCAGAATGTAACATAAATATTAATATCAGCTTCAGCAACTTATTTAAACTTCTTATAAAAATGAGTTACTGGCTTAGAAGCCTCAGTAGATTATCCATTCCTTGCCCTTATTTGGGACTTGTATGAAAACACGTACATGAGAGTTTGTTGTACCCCACAAGGCCATCTTTTCAAACAAAGTGGGGAAGGGAGGCTGTATATTAGCCCTCTTTTATTTAAGTGCTACATCACCTCTTTGATCCAAGCAGTTTCTAATCCTGGCTTTGAATCCACAATGATGGCTAACAGATAGATTCCTATCCTACTATTTACAGTTGATACCTTCTTTGGTATGTAGTTGTAAAAGACCTGAAAAGAACTTAGTAGGCTTTTACTACTATTGTGCTGAAGAAAACTTTATAAATCACTCAAAGACCAAATTCATGGTCTTTTCTAAGTTTAATGAAATATGGCTGGCAGATCAATAGACACAGAATAGAGCAAATTAGAACATCTAGATATCTGAGTGTTGTTTTCCAGGCTTTGTGTATCCAGAGGGCTGATTATGCGCACTATAGAATCTGACCACAAGTGTGTGGCTGTGATTCTCAGGTTCTTTTTCCAAAATGGAGGTTTGCATAATTCCCTGTACAATTAAGGTTTTCCATGGTAGAGCTGTTGCCAAAATCCTATATAGCGCAGAAAGACTTCTGCTTTTTGGAGGCCATGCAATCTTAGTTCTTGAGCACTATATTTGAGGTCTCCCTAATAACACCCTTCGATGGGAAGCCGATCTCAATTTAAAAGAAGCACAAGTTTGGATAAGTGAGATTACCTACTGGCTTCAATTGATATTTTTCCCCAAGAGCCTAACCCATTGATGTTATTAGATAACTTTTACTCATCTTGGAAGAAGATTCCTTCAAAACAATATAGTTCATATAATGAGTGTTTTAGTTCACAAGGCCATGTAAGTTATTACGGGCTTTAATGCAAAATAAACATTTGATGACTATTATTCTAGAAATATAACAGTCTAGTCATCAGGCAAAATGTTTGAATATACTGTATGCAGTTTGTTTCTGCATTATTTACTTTCATGCAACTTGAAGTTTATTAATGCATTAATTTCTTCCAAATGTTCGGCCCTTCACAATATTATAAATTCTATTTTCAAAGACCAAAAACCAACAGAATCTGAAAAAGTTTAGAAACAAATTGATGGAAGTTTCTGACTAGTTTGTGTACTAATAATCTTCAATTAATTTCCAAGTGATCACAAACCAAAAATATTGTTTGGAAAGAAGCACAACATTGAAAACCTATCCTATGTTCATAAAATAATGAAATAATCAACAAGAATAAAACAACTATTAAACTTATTTTTCAGAAACTTACTTTTATACAAATATGCAATGTATAAGCAAAGCAAGTTTGGTGTAGCAGTTAAAGGCACCTATCAGAAACCAGGACACCATGAGTTCTAGTTCCTGCCTTAGGCTTCAAGCCAGCTGAGTGACTTTGGCCACTTTCAGCCTTAGGAAGGAGGCAAACCACTTCTAAAAATCTTGCCAAGAAAACTGCACTGCCTTGTCCAGGCAGTTGCCAGGAGACAAGACGGCACTATATATGCGTGTGTGTGTGTGTGTGTGTGTGTGTGTGCGTGCGCAGTATTTCTCATCTCCATTTTGACTGCAAAGAACTTATGAGGGCAGAAGAGATAACAGATTTTTCAAATTAAAAAGAATTGAATGAACAATTTAGAATGCTCCACCTGTTTGCCAAATTAATTATACACAGAAGAATAAAGTGGCACAACAGAGCGATAATATTCCTTATTAATATTCTTTAATAGTCCTTATTTATTTTTACTATTCTAGAAGACAAATTTGTTCAGTATTAAAGTAAAATTCAAAGTGTATATTTCTGTAGCCATTCCCATTCCAAAAAGATGTCCTTAAAAAAAAGAATTATGGATCTGAACGTGAAGTTGTTCATTTAGCAAAAAGTTATAAACCAGATATAGAACTATGTATTTACTAACATGACTGTCAGATTAAATCTAATATTTACTTTAAAAATATTGTATTAAAATCAACCCTAATCTGGTAGCATAGGAATCTGATGTTGACTTAATGTCAAGCACTCCAAAAACAGCACAACTCACCTCTTTGGATGAATTTGAGGGCATCTCTGTCCCATTCCTAAGCTCCCCATTATTTGCTAAAACAGGGATGTTGGGACTGAAAATCATGAGGCCACTCTTGGCACCAGCCTCTGCGCTCACACCTGCCAGGATGTGGCTGTGGCGATTGGAATAGGGCCAGCTGCCCACTTCACTGGCACAGACCAGGGTGGCCGCGCCAGGACCATACACCATGGTTTCTTTTGACTTGCAGTGGCACCGCAGGCCCACATAAATGAGAATGGCCAGCAGGAACAGGCTGGAAACAGAGCAGATGGCAATGATCAGGTACACATTGATCGAGTCCACCAGGGGCATGAAGCTCTCCCCTGACCTGGGGAGGTGAATATCAGTATTGATGGCCTGGGCATTTGTCACAAGTGACACACTCAGGGTGGCTGTAGTTGAGAGTTGAGGCTTCCCATGATCCTTCACCAGAACCAGGAGAGTCTGGCTTTTGCTTCCTTCTGCCTCATCCAGAGAATATTTAGTACTCACCTCACCATTATACTGCCCTACAGCCCACAGCCTGCTACTTTCTTCAACCAGCTCATATCTTAGCCATGCATTGTATCCAGAGTCTGCATCCAAGGCATGAATCTTGCCTACTATATGCCCAGACATCACTGGAACCACTAAAAGAATGGAATTCTCTTCTGATGATGCTGACACGGCAGGTGCGTTGTCATTCTCATCCATCACAAAGATTTGAACAGTTGCGTTGCCACATAAGGAAGGTAGTCCAGCATCCTTGGCTCTCACTTGGAACTCCAGCAGTTTCAATTCCTCATAGTCCAAAGGTTGCAAAGCATAGAATTTTCCACTCTCTGAATGCACAGAAATGAAGCTTGACAATGGCCACAGCTTCTCATCTATCCAGTAGGTGATCAGGGCATTCTCAGCTACATCTGGGTCTGAGGCAGATACTGTGAAGATGTGAGCACCGGGGGGATTGTTCTCCTTCACAAAGACTGTGTAGGAGGGCTGTGTGAAAGTGGGAGCATTGTCATTTGTATCACTGATTGGCACTACCAAGATACTGCTAGCTGACAGTGATGGGACTCCTTGGTCTTCTGTTTTCACCATCAACTGATACTCAGTAACTTGCTCCCGATCCAGGGACTCAGCCACTACTAATGAATAATAATTCTTGAAATTGGATACAAGTTGGAAGGGTACCTCAGGAGGCCACAGTGAGCAATGTATTTGCCCATTGTCTCCTGAGTCCCTATCTGAAACACTAATGAGGGCTACCACTGTCCCCAGTGAGGAGTCCTCTGGCACTGGCACTGAGAGTGATGAGACAAACAACTCTGGAGCATTATCATTTACATCCACCACTTCAATGATCACTTGGCAATGTCCTGACAAAGGGGGGTACCCTTTATCTTCTGCCACAATCTGAAGATCATATATAGAAAGGTCTTCAAAATCTACCCGTCCTTCTACAATTACTTCTCCTGTATTGGAATTTATGCTAAAAATGTTCTGAAAATTTAGTGGTACATGATTAGTAAAAGAATAATCAATTTCCTTATTCATGCCGTCATCTAAATCAGTGGCATTCACTTTAATAATTAGTGTTCCAACCGCTGCATTTTCTAATAATTTTACCTTGTAAACTGATGGATTAAATACAGGAGGGTTGTCATTTACATCCAGCACAACAATCACTAGCTGAACAGTTCCTGTGAGTTTTGGTTCACCTCCATCAGTGGCTGTCAGTACTAAATGATGAACAGGGTTCTCCTCCCTGTCCAGTGGCTTCTTTAAAACAATTGCTAAAGGTTTACTGAATTTCTCATCTGTTTTCTGTTCTACAATGAAATATTCATTGGGGCTGAGCTTGTAGCTTAGCAGAGCATTAGTACCAATATCTGCATCAGAGGCTCCCTCTAAGGGGAACCGGGTACCAGATGCTGTCGTCAATTCAGCCATGCTCAGAATCTGTTCCCTTGCAGAGAAGGTGGGAGCATTGTCATTAATGTCTTTGATTTCAACCTCTATATGGAAGAATCTCAGAGGTTTCTCTGCAATCACCTCCAGATGAACAACACAGTCAGCATTCTTGGCACACAGCTCCTCCCTGTCTATCTGGGAATTTACAAACAAGATCCCATTCTGTACATTTACCTCAAAATAGTCCTTCTTTCCTTTGGACAGCATCCGGAACATCCTAGGGACCAGATCACTCACCTCCAACCCCAGATCTTGGGCGATGCGGCCCACGAAGGTGCCATGCCTGGATTCCTCAAGCACAGAATAATGGAGCTGGCCACTCCCCATTTTCCAGGCGGTGTGGAGCAGAACCAGCTGCAGCAGCTGATTTGCCACAGATTCACTCTTCCAGATAATCATTGCAAATACAGGCAGAAAGATCAGTTGTGTTTTTTCTTATATATCCATCTCTTGAAAAGACCCAAGAACAGAATCAGAAGAGGCATCCAAACCAGCATTTACAAAATAATTCAATTTAATTCCAGTGTTCTTGCCATCTGGGGTGGATATCATTATGTACCTGATAAAAAGAATTTTTTTCAGTCACATTGAAGGAGGAGCTCTGTGTTCCTTCTCCTCATCTATTTCCTGATGCAACAGTGACCTCTAGTGAAGGCATTTTGAAACAGGGAAGCAGATGATTGCTCTTTGAAAAACTAGCAATCATCTCTGATACTGCCTTCTGTTTGTTTTTAAATACATTTAGTTTTTCCAACCATTTATTCTTCTAGCAACTTAATTCATACCTGTATAACACATCATTTCTACGACCTTAATAAGTGGGAGTTGCAACTGAATATGTTAGTTGACTCTTCTATAAGTATTATATTTATGGTGACATGAAGTGATATTACATTTGTGTCAGAGATGTGGGATCTCAAATAAGTCACCCATTATCGCTTGATGTTGAAGTAGTGCATTGGATGTTATTTTTAAAACTGCTCCAACTCAATACTAATATCTTTATTATTATATAATATTATATTGTACTTTTTAATGTAATTTATGGAGTCTTGATTTGGAGACAGTGCTATGCTTTCGATATTAGATTATGTCCTTGAATTTTTTATTATTCTGTAAGCAACCTAGTTCTTAGAATTGAGGTAGTATAGAAGTCTTGTAAATAAATAAATAAACTTTTAAAAACTATTGATAAAAATATGTACACTTCAATCCAACAGGGATCCAATATTAGTTATTATATAGTGTTACATATAATTGTGATATAATAATATGATTGCCATACAATAATAATACAAGATGCTGGCATATCTCCCACCTGTTCAGCAGCCTGTGTGGGTCCAGCAAACTAATTCTGAGAGGTTCCAAAGCATAGCAAATACTGCACAGCAAATATTCCAACCCTAATGTAGGGAAGGAGAAGAAGAATGGCGAGGGGAATGATAATTCTCTCTAGCTATTTTTCTGCTTGAAATTGCAAAAATCCAAATTATATTCTCTGTCCAGGGAAAAGGATCCTGGAACAAGTTTGGTTTTTTTTTTAAAGTAGAAAATCCATTTTGATTATGGAAATGACTGGAGGGAAATGGATTAAAGCAGCTAGCTTTTGGACCTTTTCTTTAGATGTCTCATCACACCTATCTTCCTCAAGGCCACAAACACAGCTCTGTGGGAGAAACTCAGAAGACAAGTGACAAACATACTTGAAACTTGCTCACCTGCATTCTCCTCCTCTCCCACAGAGCCATTACCACAAATCCCTCTAAGAGGATCCTAGAATTTTATTGTTTCTTTGTTACTAAAGAATGCTTATTATATTTTTGTTTTCACTTGTTTATATTAATTGCATCCAGGAGATTTAATCAGTTGGATTGGACTTGATTGGACTTGATTAGTGCTTGGACACCATCAGGAAATGTCATTGCAACTAGGAAGTCAAAAAGAAATCCCAGAAGAAAACAGTGGCAAGCCATTTCTTCATTGCTGCCATGAAAACCACCTGGAGGTGTCCATGTAGTCACAGAGAGTTGAGCTTGAGTTGAGGAAGTCTTTACCTTTTGAAAATATTTTCATTGTGAAAGGCATGGTATATATAATTGTAAATAATAATAATGTGAACAAATAATAACAGTGAGAATCAAAAGAAAGTTTTCAGCCCCTTAAGAGTTGAAAAATTTAAGTAGAAAGTTACACATGACTTCAGTGAAATGTCTAATTTGCACAAACACATCTCACAGGAAAATGTGCCTGATATTAAGAAAATATCTTTGAAATCAATGTATTTACTAGGCTATCAGTGTTTTCAGTAGTATTTCTTTTTGATAATTATGCCTAAGACTGCATATAATAGCAACTGTTCTGATTCTCTATGTGCAGTGACCCAAATATAGCCAATATATCTTGTTTTGCTAATTATGGACCATTATTCTATTACCCTTCAAAATAACTCTATCAGTGGCATTTAGTTCACTTATGCCATTCCTATAAAGCAATGGAATTTTATTTATACCATTCTCATATTCAAATTATCTCACAGTACGCTGCTTCAACAAAAAATTTCCACACTGTATCTATCATAGCATTTTAGTTGTTTTCATAAAGATACAAATGAAATGATTTGCCTTAGAGTTTTCCTTTTTTCCATTCCCCCCCCCACCAGCATTATCTAAATAAACAAGCAATTACTTTTCTGCAGCAAAAAGCAATTTAAAATAATAAAATTCCAGAAGAAAAATTGTGGTTTTAAATATGCAGAAATGTCTCACAAAATTTTCTTTAAAATAATTATTCTGGTGCTTTATAGTCCATCTTTGCAGTTGATTTTCTTTTTATAAGAAGATAATGAAGACTAAAGCCTCTTCATTTGAAATTACAGTATTAGTTTTCCTGGGTCAGGAAGCAAGAAATAGGACTGAAGAATATATTTGCATTATTTATAGCACTTACTAGTTAATGTTGTTTTGGTTCCTTATGTTTTTAATATGACATGTTGTTTATAACACTTGGATGATCGCAATGCACTCTACATGGGGATGTCCTTGAAGACCACCTGGAAGCTACATCTGGTTCAAAATGCAGTGGCGCAAGCAGTAACAGGCACCTCTCAATGTGCCCATGTCTCAAGTAAAGTTAAGCTGAGTTAGGAAATCTAGATACAGCCTGAGGCCATGCTCAGAAGTTCAGTTATTATATCATTGTCATTAATTAAGATACGTATATCGCTAGTCATATCTATATCTCACTTTTGCAAAAAAAATTGTATCTAATCCATGTTTTGGTGCATTTGCAGCAATGTGTATATGTGGTATATAAATATTTTAAAGCCTGTGCTCTTTTATATTAAGAGCATTTTATATTAATTTGAAAAAAAAATTAAAGTCTTGCTCATAATATTTTTTGTAACTTTTTTGTGGTGAGTGATGCAGAATGGTTAGTAGGATAATTAAAGAACTGCCATTTTTATTCCATTGTCTTAATCAACAGATTTTACCTATTAATCACCATTACCACTATAGGGCATCTATAAACTAACTTATTATAATTTTAAAATATACTCTCAAATTTAAAGTTTTGGGAAAGGAAACATTCTACTCAATCAAAAGCCTTTTCAGCATGTACAAACCATTCCAAAGCCATCAACATGGGATATTTGCCCATAAAGCAGGCCTTTTATTAGAAAACCATGTCATTCTAGAAAAGGCTCAAAAATCCACTTTGGCCATTATTTATGCATATTACGCATACTAACAAAAGCATATGAAGGAATTACAAATTTACACTTGATAATGCCTTAAAAAATAGAAGTTATGATGAATTGACATGACTGTGTACCATGACCTGCAATGCTTGTGGCATATTTGGGTTCCTGCCTCAAAACAACCTAGCTTATATCTGTAACAAATACAAGTTTGTAGCTGTGCTTAAACAAAAAATAAAAAGATTATAGCAGCAAATGGCCAATCATCATTGGTAATGAAATCACCACTTCAGATGATAAGAGAAGATGAGGATTAGTTGTTAGACAAAACTAAGGATACACTCTCCATGAAGAGAAGAATCAAAGAAGCAAACTCACTAAACAAAAGAAGGAAACGACAGCAAACAGATACTCTGCAAAGATGGAACCCAAAAATAGTTCTCAGGCCTTTGCAGAAGATTCGGCTTTGAGTTTCTAGTGAAGGATGAGACCAGGCTGAACAGTAACTGAAAGTTTGGAGCCTTAAAGAATAGATGGTATACAACTATTACCAGCATGAAGACAAAGAGGAATGTTGTAGAAATTCATAACTCTTTTCTGTGAGGAACAGAAACTAATCTGTTAGCAGATTTGCTGTCTCCCATGCATATGAATCGGGAATATGAACAGAAGTGCTGCCAAGACTCAGCAAACCCACTGACAGGAGCCCCATTTTGCTCTTCCAGGAATGTTATTGCAAAGAGTGGCCACAAGAATGACCATATTACCTAAGGCTTTGAGATAAGCAAGAAAACTCAAAAACCTAGAGGCTCATTCATCCTTCTGCAGGTGAAAAAAAGATATTGCAGGTGAATGATTGGTTTGACATAAGAGACCTTGACCTGGGATTTTTGGATGGACTGCTGGTTTGAATCTCACAAACTGTGGATTGCATGTCACAAGAAATGGGAAGTTAGTGTTTGGCCGAAGCATAGTAAATGTATTCAGAGGCCTACAAACTGAATGCTGTGAGATTGCAGACAAAAATCCAGAAGAATATCAGTTAAGATCTGTGCATGTAGGAAGAAATTAGAGAACAGTTATAGTGAGGTCTGTTAAACAGCTACATAAAATATCAGGAAGAACAATGGCTCATAAATTTCATATTCATATTTCAAATTCCAATTCTGCTGGGAGTCGGGCGGCATAAATTATTATCATCTTCATTATCATCATCATCATCGTCATTGGCTGTGTGTATGGCAGAAAGAAACAAAAACAAAATGAGCTTGAACTCCTATTACAGAGTCATGAACATGACTTAATAGCAATTCCTAGCCTAGACTCACTAGTATAGTGAGATGGGCAGCATACAAGTTTGATTTATAAATAATAAATAAATAAATAAATTCTTGAGGTCTTGGGGGATGAGTATCATGATTAGAACACAGCAGTTGCATACTTCATCCCTGGTCCATCTCACTGCCAAATTTGCTTCCAGATGGCATACAAGTGCTAGTTTTTAACCTTTAACCCCCTATTCAGTTTGGTTCTTTGCAGCACCCACACACAGAGACACACATACACCCAGAGTCACACACATAGATGACTCTCTTTCCCCCCCTCCCTGAAACCATGCTAGGAGGCCTGCTTAGAGTTGCTGCAGGCTCATTTCACAGTAACCTAAGCCCAAACTTTTAAAGTTGCCACCCCAGGCTCTTTTAAGCTATTTGCTGCCCACATTCTTCAAACAGAGAATATATTTATTAAAAATTACTAGCATCAACATTTAGAGTAAATTAATTCCAAAATAGCACATAAGCAGCCATTGTTGCCTGGATATTACATTCTCCAGAAAGGAGGTGGCCTGAGAGAACTGTGGTACCTATTCATGGAACACCTCCTCTAGAAAGCCCACCCAGCACTCAACCTTCCATCTTTATGGCATCAGCAAGGATGTTATCTTTTCCCCAGCTTTCTTGCTTACACTGTGGCTGACTTTAATATCTTCTCTTTAAATGTTTTTCAGTCCACTACTCTGTAGCAGGTAATAGTTGTTTTTGGTTTTTTATATTGGTGAGCTGCCTTGGGAAGACACTGAGATTTGTAATAGTAGGAAATATTATTCAAATATATATTTCAAAAATAAATAATTACAGACCCAAAACACTGGCCCTAAAATGTTGGGGTCCCATTATCACTGCAGAAATCACTGTCAATATATAATGAATGTACAAGTACTCCCATAAAAAACACCAAAATAGTGTTCAAAGTTTATGGCTCACCTGTAATGCTGGATCACAACATATTTGTGTCTGTTTTTCACTGCCAGGAGAGGGAGGAGGAATGTTGGGACTGAAAACCATGAGGTCGCTCTTGATGCCAGATTCCCCACTCACAGCAGCCAGGAAGTGGCTGTGACGATTTGAATATGACCAGCTACCTACTTCACTAGCACATACTAACGTAGTTGTACCAGGGCCATATATCATTGCCTTCTTCACCTGGACATATCGCATGGCAACATATACCATGAGGGTCAGCAGAAGTAAACTGGAAACTGAACAGGTAGCAATGATTAAGTAGATGTTAATGCTATCCACCAAGGGCCTTGGGTTCTTTCCCATTCCTTGAAGATGGACATCAGTCTGAATGAGATGGGGACTTGCCACAAATGACACACTCAGCGTAGCAGTGGTTGACAACACTGGCTCCCCATGATCTTTCACCAGCACTAGCAGATTCTGTCTGCTCAAATTAACTTCTTCCTCAATAAGGGCACGGTTGGTACTGATCTCACCACTATAATGAGCCACTTGCCAAGAATTGCTGGAGTTTTCATGTATTTCATAATATAGCCATGCATTGTAGCCTGAATCAGCATCCACAGCATGGATCTTGGCAACTACTTGTTCAGCCATGACAGGGACCACCAGCAAGACGGGATTTACCTCTGCCAGTGCTAACACAACAGGCGCATTATCATTTTCATCTATCACAAAGACTTGTACTGTCACATTGCCATATAAAGAGGGAAGTCCAGCATCCTTGGCACTCACTTGGAACTCCAATAGCTTCAGCTCCTCATAATCCAGTGATTGCAGAACATAGAGCTTCCCACTCTCTGAGTGTACTGAAATATAACTAGACAATGGCCAGAACTTCTCATCTATCCAATAGCTGATCAGAGCATTCTCAGCCATATCAGGATCTGAGGCAGAAACAGTGAAGATATGAGCACCAGGTAGATTGTTCTCCTTCACAAAGACTGTATAGGAAGGCTGTGCAAAAGTAGGTGCATTATCATTCACATCACCAATAGGTATCATCAGGCTACTAGTAGTCAGCAGAGTTGGTGTCCCTTGATCTTGGGCTCTTACAATCAGTTTGTATTCTCCCATCTGCTCCCTATCCAGGGGTTCAGCCACTATTAGAGAGTAGTAGTTCTTGAAGGTGGTAACCAGCCTGAAGGGAAAGCCAGCAGGATAAAGGGAGCAGCTTATTTGTCCATTGATCCCAGAATCCCGATCTGAGACACTAATCAGGGCCACCACCATCCCTGGGAGAGAATCCTCTGATACTGGTACCAACAAAGACTTTAACCATATCTCAGGGGCATTATCATTTACATCTTGTACTTCAATCAGAATCGTACAATATCCTGTCATTGGATTGCTCCCTTTATCACTAGCTTGTACCTGAATCTCATATTGGCGGTCTTCCTCAAAATCTAATTTTTCTATTGTTTTCATTTCTCCGCTAACAGAATCTAAGGTAAATATATATTTTAATTTAACAGGCACACGGTTTTGAAAGGAATATGCAACTTCTTTATTGATTCCCTCATCCAAATCAGTAGCATTTAATTTAATTACTAATGTCCCACTTTGAACATTCTCTGACACCTGGACTTTATAAACTGATTGGTTAAAAGTAGGAGCATTGTCATTTTCATCAAGCACAGAAATCACCAACTGTGTTGTGCCACTGAGTTTTGGTTTCCCTGCATCTATGGCCACAAGCAACAAATGATGTGTAGCCTTGACTTCTCTATCAACACTGTTTTTTAAAAGGAGTCCTAATGATTGAATTTCATCATATTTCCTCTGGACATCTAAAATAAAGTAATCACTGGAACTGAGCATATAGGTGAGGTGAGAGTTTGGACCAATATCTGCATCAGAAGCTCCCTCCAGTGGAAAAAAAGAACCAGGCATCCTTATTTCCGAAACAAAGATATTTTGCTCCTTTTGAATGAATGTAGGAGCGTTGTCATTAATGTCTTTGATTTCAACCTCTACATGGAAGACTTTCAGAGGTTTCTCTACAATCACTTCCAGATGAACAACACAGTCAGCATTCTTGGCACACAGCTCCTCCCTGTCTATCCGGGAATTTACAAACAAGATCCCATTCTGCACATTTACCTCTAAAAAATCCCCCTGGTTTTGGGATTCCATCCTGAACATCCGAGGCACCAATTCTTCCACTTCTAATCCCAGGTCCTGAGCAATGCAGCCGACGAAGGTGCCATGCTGGGATTCTTCAGGCACAGAATAATGGAGCTGCTGGCTATTCCCCAACTCCCAAGCCCAGCTAAGAACAAGCAGCTGCACCACCTGCTTTCTTAGTAGGCAGCATTGGAACAGAATAATCATAGTTATGGTAGGTTTAATTTCCAGATTTTAAAAATTAAGTCTGTAAATTTGGCATGAAATTAGCAAATGTTAAGCTGCAGTATCCATTCTGCCTCAATCTCAGTTCTTGCTGTGTAACTGGGAGTGGCTTTGATCTTTGAATCAAAAGAGGATTTTGATTTTCAGTGGGCAGCGACATCTTGTGACAATTGGTATAAATGGCATATACATTCCCTTTCTGTTACTATTTTCCCTACTTCTTATTATCAGTTCCATTTTAAAATTCACTTTTGGTTTATTGCCATTCTACTCTACTGTTCCTTGAAAAGTTTGTTTGTTTATATAAATGAACATATCTCCCAGCTCCTGAGCTCTTGGTACTTTACCAAAATACTCTATGTGGTTAACAAGTTAAAGTATATTTTTAATATATATAATTTTAATTTTTAAAAAAGACCAGGCCACAATTTTAGAAATCCCCATTTGAGGTCTAGAATATTGGTCTTTTGTTTTCCTCTCTTTTTCTTTCTCCCTCTCTCTGAGTCTTGCCTATCAATCCATAGTGCTTTTATCATCTTCAAAACCAATGCGTTGCTAAATATGCTTGCACATTAAGAAGCTCCACGTGTGTCTCAGGCAAGATAGCTAAGCTATATCCTACCAAGAAGTTGGAGAAATCTGGTAAGGGGAGGATATTCCTTCAATGTCCTAAATATGTCAGTGAAACTCTCAGCAAATCCTATCTGCCAAATCAGGGGGAGGGGGAGCAAGGATGGGGGAGGCAGACAATTGCATGTAGATCATGAGATTTCCAGAGATTCTAGAAAGGGATGGCAACAACTCTTGGGCATGAGAATGGATATGATAAATATTCTCTAAATATGCCTACTTCTGAATTACAGTCCGTATCTTTCATTTTGCTCCATCAGATAATGTTTTGTCTACGTCAATTTTTAGATTCAAGTTCCTTGGCTTTGGGATTTCTCCTTCTCTGCTTTTTAAAATATTGTGCATTTTGATGAGGCTATAAAATTTATCAGAATCATCATCATTATCATCATCATTTTTCCACCTAGAAATCCAAATTCCTTTAATAATTCTAAATGTGATGAATTTTCCAGCCATATTAGATATTCAATCATACCCCATTATAATAATGTTGTCCACATATATGGTGTAATATTTTTCTTTCAGCTTTCCTTTCCTCATTTGTCTATAGTTTTCCATACTATTAACTTTTGAAAAGACAACTTCAGTGGTACTGACTTTTCAGCACTTCATGTCCTACTGATCATGACAGACAGTGGGATGAAGATAGAGACTCTTCATCTATCACTCTGTCTGCTCTTTCTTTCTTTATCCCTTTTTTTCCCCAGGCAAACACACATGGAATAGTTGCTTTCCTCCTAACAGGATGTAGTTAGCTAGGTGCTAGGTTTTGCCTATATCTGTAATGTATTTTCTTAAATAAATCTCCCTTCCATTATAGTTACAAACCCTGCTTCATTCTCCAGATTCTCATTCTCAGAAATGCAGACATGCAGACACAAACTCTTCTATCTCCAATGTTATTTAAAGCAATAGTTAAGGTGACTGGGAAAACAGTTTGGCTAGGATTTTTGCTGAGGGAATATCTTGAGTTTTGGTAGCATGGTCAGCCTGACCATGCCAAATTTCAAACTAGAATGACTGCCATAGATACAATTAAATGTGCTGGAAATGTTATACATTTATCCTTTGTAACTATTATGGTAAAACTTTGCTAAACTATTCATCTACCTTACTCAGACTTCTTGAGAATGATAGCCTACTAAGCTTTAAGAAATTCTGAATAGTAGCTCAGAATATCAGTTCAATCATTCTGAAGGTAGGATACCTTCAGTGTCAAGTACTTGTCAAGTACTTCAGTGATGCAGAAGGATTCAATGGATTTTTCCATGCCACATCCCCAATCCCTTTACAAAGCATACAGGGAATACCATAAGCCTTACAGTTCTTACCCTCCAGCTGAGAGTAAGAGAGTACTGAAAAAGGTCATCCAATCATTATTCCAACAATTGAACTACTTGCCAGTTGCCAATATAAAAACAAAAAAGCCCCCCCTTCCACATGAAAGAAAAATAAAATAAATTGCCAGCACATCCCTCTTTTCATCCACATTTTCAGTGTCTGTTGTTTGCATCTGTCTGATATGCATTTGCAAAAATAGTCTGATGATTGCTATGAGAGGAGCTCACTGCAAAGACACAATTCTTCTGTTGATATTAAAAATTTCTTGCAAGCTGCAAAGGTGTCAAGATAGCAAGTAAGCATTTCTGCAATCAGAAACTTTCCCCAATAGCTATGATTATTGTTGCATATGGCTGCAATTTTTGGAGTGGGGGAGAAGGAAAGATCCTCTAAATGATATCTATATAAGACACTGAAATTCTGGAGATAGATGAGCAAATCAGTCAAACATTTCTTGAGTGCAGAAACTGTGAGGCAGACTGAAGCAAGAGTTCTAGATAATAGAAAAATGACCCACTTACATGCTCTAAAAAGCTGACATGATGCAAAGGGAACCTCCATATACACACTTTGTTACAATTTTGAATAAATTTTGAATGGTGCAAAGCCAAAAATAAGTTATCTTAGCTCCCAAATCAACAACATCATGAGATCAGATAGTCAGAGCTGCCTCTAAAACTGCAGTAAAGCACCTATGTGAAAATGCCCTTGGTTGCAGAGGAAATCTAACAAATTGGGGGAGGTAGATGTTTATTCCTGTAATTGTACCTTCACATCATAAAGGGTACCACCTGCATGACATTTAGTCTCTCCAAATGTTGATGCAAACATATAAGTTGTCAGAGAAGAAAAATTATTAAATAAATGGTGTGTGATCATATTAATGCTGTTAACTCACAACTTCAATTGTTATTCATCCAAACTTATTTTGTCCTGGTTCATCTCATTTCTTTGACCCAGCCCCATCCATTTAGGGGAGTATGGCCTTCAGCATTCTACTCAAAGGTCAAGTGAGGCACAAAAGTCATATCCCCCTATCTTTCAGCACAAACCTATGTGCAATTATGCAAATTAGGATTAGAATAAACTGATTTTACTGAACAATCCAAGGAGGAGGAGGAAAGGGGAAAGAACAACCACACTTACCTCCTCTGAGGGTTGGGAGTGGGAGGAGTGCTAATGCACTGTTTTGCAGCAGGTTTCCTACACAAGCTTTGGTTTCAGGGACCTACAGGTCACAGCAATTTGCCATGTTTAGGTCTTGACAGCGTGGCACTGCCCCAGTAGAACTGGCATGTAATTTGGGGTCCTTCTGGATTCTTGGCTCCTGCTCAATGAGAGGTGGCAGCTATGGCCAAGGAGGATCTTTGCAGCTGGTTCTTTTCTTAGTCACTGGAACTATCCCTTTTCCTAATGTTTTCTCTATCCTCTACCCTTTTTCAAACTGCTCTCACCTTTCCCCTTTTTATCTCACTGCCTTCCATCTGGATGCATTCCTCCTTTCCTAGCCTCTCTCATTTTCCCCTTTTTTGCTACCTTCTCTTCAAGTCCTTTCTCAATTTTAAAGTTTCTCTCTTTCTCTCTCTCTCTCTCTCTCTCCTTTTCTCCTTTTGGGTTTCAAATGCTTTCAATGCTTTCAAGATCTTTCGTGCAGAATAAAGTCCCAGAAAGCAAAAATGGTATTACATTAACGAATGACAAAGACAGGCCATCCATACTGTAAAAGTAAACTCTGGCCAAATATGGAAGAATTCAGTTGGAAGGGCCCCTTAGGCTGCTGGGTTCCAACTTCCTGCACAATGTAGATCTTCAGTTAACTGCCACTTTCTGTATAGAAAGTCTTTTGGTGGACTGTGGGGTTGGAGCCGCCTTCACAGGCCTCAGTATAGACTGTGTAAACTCCACATAGACATACCTCAAGGTTTGCTGCTATCCTGCAAGTTCCCATCCTGTCCTTTGGGGCACTATAACTATCTCTTTATTTGTCACCCCCTCCGTAATCTCTCTTTTATCAAGTTCTTTTCCTTTTCACACTCCCTTTGATCTTCTGTTCTATTAGCCTTTAATGCCTTCCCACTTTTCCAACTTTTCTTTCAATGCTGTTTCTTCTTCAGCATCTTTACCCTTTTGATTTTTCCTTTGGCAGTGCTGAATTTTTCCTGGTAAATTCCTATTTCTGACTTCCATTCCTGAGTACTAGAGCAATCTCCAACATTTGCCTTCCGTTGCTGCTTCAATGGTTAATCTGTTGGAAAGTTGCCGCTGCTGTGGCTGCTGTTGGTCTGGGAGTCTAAAGGAGAGTCTAATGAGGACTTCTGGTTGAGAGCCATGGCAAGCTAAGCATCCCTTTTTGCAGCAGGATGGCGTTACAATGGAGTTGGCAACTGGATGAAGGATCTGGGCTGCTGAAATTCTCTCCGGATTAAGGAGAGATCTTTGAGATTGCTCTTGTGTATTCCACACAGCCGCTCCTTGTGAGTGGACTGCAGGAATCAAAGTTTTTGCAGTCGGCTTATGAGTTGAGCAGCTGGGAGTCATGGGAGGAACCATCTTTGCTCACAGTCATGAACCCAAGCCTTTTTTTAAGAACATAAAACTCGACTAAGCCTCACTTCTTAATCATTTTAGATTTGCTTTTTTTCCCTGTTGCTTTAGAAGGATTGAGACCCTTCAGACTGGCAAGGTATGCTGCATTTGCTAGGTGAGTTGCCTTCTCCTCAGAGAAAGGATTTTTAAATACAATTTTAAAAGTTTTTTTAAAATGTTACTTTTTGGATTAAGCAGAAAAAGGGTGCTTAGAATATGGATTTTAGTTAACAACTGATTAAGGGCTCAGATGGACTTGGAATTGTAATTTTAAACTATGAGAAGAATTTCTCCAGTGGGAAATTGTCATTGTTTGGACTTTCTTTAGTTTAAGATAATGGGACTTTGACTGTTGGACACTAGAGGGAGCTAAAGGATAACAAAAAAAATGGAAGGAAAGATTTTACAGTGGGTTTTCTGATGAAAGTTTATGAAAAATGGTCTCTTAAGTTTTTGGAAATAATGGATGGATGAATTGTTAAGGAAGTAATAGAAGAAGAACAAGTCTCTCTGGATATGTTTGAAATGAATCTGAATGTGGATATAAATGAGACAAGCAATGAGAAGAAGAGGATGTACTGGACTTACAAATGAAACAGGATGTTTTATTGCTTAAAGAAGATTTACAACCACTAAACTAGAAAAAAGATATGGATTATTTTTACTTATTGGATGTACAAAAGAGATCTGTTAAAGTCTTGAAGGATTTTTCAAGAAGTGGCAAAAAAAGGATGAACTTTCTTTACTGGATGTACAAAAGAGGCCTGTTAAAGTTCTGGAAGATTTTTGGGAAAGGACAAAAAAACCCAAAAAAGATGACAAGTAATCAAGTTCTGGGACTCTATTTGAAGGGGTTAAGAATTAAGGTTGTTAAAAGTATAGGGAAGGAATACAAGGTTGGCTTATTCAATCAAGGTTAAGATAGATAATAATTATATCTGATATCCCTTATGAACTTTTACTGATAAGGGACGAATGACAAGGCTTTTGGATTTTGTTTTTAATTAAGAGATGAGATATGGGGTGAAGAGAGTGTATGCTGTATCTTAAGAGATGGTGATAAATTATTTAAATTGTGTGTACTTGCTGGGATGAAGGGAGAAGTTCTCTTTTCTTCTTTTTTTTCACACTATTTTTTTCTTTTTATATATATTTTTTTGTAGATTGTATAGTTTTTACTCTTTTTATCTGTAATCCTTAATAAAATTATTTGGAAATAAAAAAGACAATCTAATGAGTTTACGTCTTTATGGATTATCATACAAAGAGTCTGAAAGTGACCTGCAAGGTGGCTGAAGCCATCAAGAAAAACAAGGAGAGACTTTGCATTAAGTGGTGTGTTTTTTTGCTTTGCTTTGCTTTGTTTTAACTTTATTTCAGTCCTTTCATTCATTACCAAATTTACCCTTACATTTTATATTCATTTGTTTATTTGTCAGTAATTTATCTTACATTATTTCCAAAAAGATAAATGGCCTCACTAACATTTGGATCATGCCTCATCCATATCTTAACAAGGGCTTCCCTGTCCACTGCTGAACGGCTAAAGCACTCCTCAGCCAAATCAAAGTGGTGTGCCATGAAGTGAAAGATGGTTAATTGCAAACACCAAAAACTCAACTAAATTCTCCAGCATTGTGTAATGCTATCTTTTCCCCTGAAAGATAATAAAATTCTTAATTATCAAATCAACATCAAAAGCCATAGAAAAGATAGCAGGCTTCTATTATTGATACAGTACCTACTGATATTTAGTAAACTCAGGAAAAATAAATCTGGATCTTTTTGAGGAAACTTCTCAAAAAGTCCCAGACTAATTTCCAAAGCAAACTTGAAAGAGGAGGCATTGTTCTTATCTCCTGAAAAAAGAAACAAACTACCAGCCAAAAATAGCATCTTATTTTTAAAAATGTTCTCGACAATTCTACTAACTGTAAAGCATATACAGTGGTACCTCGGGATACGAACGCCTCTACTAACGGACGTTTCGGGTTACAACCAGCTTCGGCAGGAAAAATTTACCTCGGGTTATGAACTCGCCTCTAGTTACGAACCAGATCTGCGGCCGTTTTCCCTGCTGCCACGCGGTCGCAGCTTCCTGTGG